GCATTGATAGAAAATTAATGAAAATTCTAACTTTTTCAATTAAATAAATTTATCATTTTTGTGGTCAATTTTTTTTTCAAAATCAACTGGTGAATTATTTATATTTATTTTTTATCCCCTCATTCGGATTCCCGGTTCCACACCTGTACCCACTTATACATTATTGGTCAGTTGGGCGCCTTAGTGGACTGACAAGCCCATGGTCTATGTTTTCTCTTCGGTCCGCAAACCACATGGCTAGTTGGCTACTTTGCAGGCTAGTTGGCTACTTTGCAGCCTAACGAGTGAAGACTTAAACAATAATCTAAAATATAAAATAAAGGCAAGTTTATTAAATTTATTTGACGATTTCAAACAAATTTATGTAACAATCACATATATTTTTCTCAAAATTATTCATATTACACCGTACCTTCAGATACGGGTTATCTCTAATTCATTACCGGAGAATATAGTCCTCAACAAAATATAAAAAATCATTAATTATTATTTGTGAGAGAGTAGTATTCATATTTTGATTAAGTTATTAGTGATTTGGAAGTTACTCCCACTGCAGAAAAAATTCTACCTCAGCCCATAAAATTGTCCACGATGTTCATGCCATTTTTCAAACTCGATTACCTCATGTTTACAATATCCCTAAAAAAAAAAAAGAAAAAGAAAAGAATAAAAAACTCTCTTATAAGGATCTTGATCCTATTTCAGTTAGTCGTGTACTTAATGCATACCTCATCCCTGTAATCTATGTATACATAATCTGAAATTGTCCTGTGTATTCCTTCGCCGCCATTCTGAGAAAGGTTCTTTTGGCTTTCTTTCTTTGGCCTGGTATTTCTTGTTGGCCTGTGAAGGAAGTCCTTAGTCTGACTAATCATTACAGGATTTGAAGATAAAAAATATCATCATTAAGAGACGAGAAATTACGGTAAAATCGGATTATATGAAAAGTGAGTTGACTCGAATCATTTTCGTGTGAAATTGCTAATTCTGATTTCAAGTTGTTATATCATCAAATAATAAATATGTGAGTAAATTTTGATCGTGACATTGTCAAAAACTAATTCTTATAATCGAAAGTATAAACCAATTTTGAAGTTTATGACCTAGACTAATCTTACAATGGTATCATTTGAAAGTTGATTTTCATAGGTTTTATACAACAAATTTTTTATCATTGATGATAAATGGAGAATAATCTCATTGAATAAAATTTTTGATTATGTCATTGCCTGGTCCCTTGAGGGTAAAATTCTGATTCCGTTCCGATGATAATCACCAACTCTTTGAAAGCATGAATACCTTCAAGTTTAGGCTTCTCATTGTCTTTCAACAAAACTTTCTTGATGATGTTATTTGGTATTAGTATACATTTGTGTGTGTGTTTTTAAGGGTGTTTCTTTTTGAAACCATCGGTTACACTATTTAATTGAAAAATAAGTGAATTTTCATGACATGATTTGATAGAATAACAAATGAGTGGGCTCGGCAGAGTAAAACATTAATCATCAGATTTTGATACGACAAACATGTTTACTTATTATCATGCAAATCATTAGATTTTGATACAACAAACGTGTTTATTTATTATCATGCAAAGAAAATGATTGATTTTTTATTTTTTGTTATCTTTGCTTTTTCTTGATCTATTACTATAAGGATTATCCTACACTTAACTGTTCTTTGATTTGAAGTTGTTAGTATGTGGATCGAATATACTTGTTATTTTATGTAAACTTATGTGGAGTTTATTTGACAGAAAGAGTGGAAAGTGATATTTTTCTGAATTTGGGGACTATGGGTGATATATAGACACAAATAAGACATGACATGACTTAAATATTATTCTAGAAATATGATATAATACGATTCGATTCTTTTTTTTTGTTCAACGGTTAAAAATGTCCAAGTCAACATATGCACACCTCGATTAGTTCCTATTTCAGTCCGGCAAAGACAGATCATCTATGTTAGGACTGAGATATTCATAATAGATAAATTCTTCATGACCGAACCCCAAGATATTATCAAAATTCGAACTTAAGATATTTAAATTTACAGCTCGTTTCTATTACAATTTTAGCTATCTCTAGAGATTATACAAGTGGATTCTAATCCATGCTCTTGGTATATTATTGAGTAACAACTTCTGGGACTTCAAAATTTTGATTGACTAAACCAATCTGAGAGAGACGGTTCTGCCATTGCTATACAATTTTAGCTCTAGCCAAAGCAAAATTGTTGTGACCAACTTAACAACGTTGTAATTTATTGATGTTCAAATTTGAATTCCAACTTGACAACATGTTTTATGCAACACGTCTAATATTGTAGAAGAACAATATTATTGAAACATAATTTAAGAATATAATTTGAGGACATTAAGTATTGTGACTAACAGAGTGATATCAAAATATATTTAATGCTATAGTCTATTTTATAATTTGTATCCTTTATTTTTTAGTTTATCATTGAAGTTTCAATTCAATTGATACAATTACATCATTAAAGTTTTAATCAAGTTTCAATGTAATCCTTCAATCTTGATCAATTAAGTTGTTTCGACAAAAAAAGTCACAAGATTTGTCATAAGGGTATATGCGTCTAACAAAAAATATTTCCATCATAAAAATCGATATTTTTGTATTTGTCTCACAAAATCTCTCGAATTCTCACTCTATATCTATTTTTTTCGGGTTTGTTATTCTTTTAGTTTCCTCCTAAAAATCAGATGAAATAAAATAAAATTTTTTAGTCTACATGTAACAGATATTTTATCAGATAAATATACCTCTTTACCCATGGCATGTGTTGGTCATGAAAGATGATTCCGTCACAATAAATTAGTGACTTATGATGTAAGAGTTAAAGTGAAACTCAATTAAAACTCTAAGAATTTAATTATTACAATTAAATCTTCAAGGACCAAAGAGAAATTAGGTGCATACTTTAAGAGTATAAATTTTAATTTACCAAAATATCTATATTGTTGGGCTAATTCTTGGTAAATCTAATTGCGAAGACTTTAGGCTTTAAATTATTGAAATTATAACACTTTCTACTTATCTCTCTCTGCATAGTATTCATGTGTGCACGACCTCTAGTGATTAATTATCTTTTTCATAGGTAATGGTCGTAACAAATTCTAACATGCACTTGATTGCTTCTAATCTGAGCTTGTAATCGGGACAAATTCAATGATTTCACAAAGAAAAATCCTATATAATTCAAATATAATCTAAAAAATTGCCTCTTCATCCAACGACAGTGGCTGATGGCACTGTTAACCACTAAACATGGCGTAGTGCAGGCGCAGTATAGCGTGGAAACTGTCAACAAGTCTTAACCATGGTAGAGGAAGAGGCACAATTTGTCAAAAGAACCTACGTCATGATGCAAAACGATGGAGGGGGGGGGGGGGGTTTTCTATTTGTAGGGTCTCGTTGAAAACGCCATGGATCATGATCACAGGCCAATGGAGAACCAAAAAAGGTGGCATATATCCTAAAATATAGCTTATAAGATTTATCTGCGGACATAGTGATTACCGTTCCGCCGTTGGGCTAAATTGTGATAGATTCTAGCCTCGTTATCTCCTCTCCATGTACATACAGTTAACACTAATACTATTATTCACGGTTTCAAACTTGGGTATATTAAATCTTTGGTTTCCACGCAATGAAAACTTACACAACTAACTACAGAACAATATCAGGAACCTCAAATTTGAGATTTCAAATGACATTCCAAGTTACATTGAGAACCTTGGGTCTAGTTCCCAAGTATTTCCTGTTATTCCTTTCTTTGGGTACTCTATTCACGTGTCTCTTTAGTTATATTCTTTTCATAATATTGATTAATTGTGATGATACCTCAAACGAGCCCTACCTATGAGTTTAGGTTATGAGGTTAGATCAGGAGATCATGAAAGATATGGGAAACTCAGAGAACCAGGGGTAGAACTCCCCTTGGGGAGATCGTGATAAAACCAACTAGAAAACAACTGGATGACTGCGAAAATTGAGCCAAATTCATGAAATTCTCAACTAACCGAGATTCTCTCCTAAAATCAAGGAGAATTTCATGAATAATTGACAAAGATCTCGGCTGAAATCGTACATAATAGGGAGCAGCCTTATAAATACTATGTAACGTCTCATTGAGAGGGGAGGCCCCTAGAAAAACTTTAATTAGATGATGCATTGTACTGTAATACATTCGAGAAATCAATAGAGAAAATAAAAGAGCAAGAACCTCCATTAGAGAGTGGATTAGCAGAACTCCAGAATCGATGAACCACTATATTCTTACTATGCAAATTCGTCTACCATTTAAAAAACACTTCATCTCTGTTATTATGAAGTTGACAGACTAGATTCATCTTTGGTCCCACGCACTCTGTTCGCCCGCGTTAGTTTATACCATCAAATTGTAATAGTTTTTTTTTTTTGAGTACTGAATCTTTATTTGTTGTATTGATTGATCGTAACATAGATCAGTTGTACTATTTTCTAGAGTACTTATTTTTTTGTAGTATTAGTAATATTTGGATTATAATACCAATACATTATTAGACACATAACAACTTAATTGAGTTCGATATGCCTCAATCCCAATCTAGTAAGGGGATATGCCTCCATCTCAATCTAGTAAGGGCTTTGCAGCCAGCTTAACAAATCTGAGTGTTTAAATATATCGTTACATCATACACATATATTCGATCTTTTATTTTCTTTTTATGTTCCTGCCTATGGAGAGAGAATTAGCACGACTCCGCCTCTCTCCATTCTACCACCCAAACATTCAAAGTTCTTGCCAACATAAATGTTGATCAAAATTTAAATATAATACAAGTGAATTTTAATTAAAACAAAAAAAGATTAATAATGTTACTAATCATCACTTTGGAAAAGAAAATTTATCTAATCATAATTCAAAAAATCCAAATTGTAAGCAAAATCAAATATTATTTACTTGTCATTATTCGTACAATTTTGAAAAGATTACTCGGGAATGGTAACTAGTACAGGTCGCCATGCTTTTCTGAGTAACCGTTGCCTAAACGTCCCCGATAACGGCCCGAGAGAACGATTCCCAACGCGCCGCAAACCCAAGACACCGCCACCACCACTCACGCCACCGGCACAGGCGGTTACCGTTGAAAAACCCTCCCCCATGTCTATTTCTTTCTTCGAGGCCCTCTCTTCAAATGGTAGCGAAGACACAAACAAGTCCTTAAGCTTGTGGCTCACAACTAATTCCTTCACCTTCTCCGACGAATCTCCCCGCAGATCAGTCGAATCATCGTCACGGCGGGGCAACCTCCGACCGTTGGTGCAATTACGACTGAGGAGCATTCTTAGAGTCTTCCGGCGGCGGAGGTGAATGACTGGGCTTGCTGTTGGGCTTCGCGCTGGGCTTCCTGCTACGGTGCATTGGGTTGCGAAGAGCTTAAATTTCTGCAGTCTCGCCATTTTCGATCTGGCAAATCCTTCTCTCTCTCCCTGAAACTTTGAATAAATTCAATGGTTGCGTAGAAGGTTAAGATCTTTAACGAATTGGGTTTTTGGAGAGAGAGGGAGTGAGATCAGATTTTTTTTTTAGGGAATTGTTGACCATAGTTTTTTCGTTTCTTCTATGGTCTTTTATATTCGATACACTTTCGTGAAGTGAGAGAGAGAGAGAGAGGGAGAAGGTATAAAGAATTGATGGAAGAATACGGACGGCTTTACTATGGGAATATCGACGGTGTGGTTGAGGCTTCATCCAATTGAAGGCACAATGCTTACATTTGTCGAGAAATCCGGAGTTTGGATCTAAACGGGTATGGGTCCTACCTTGTATTTATTCTTACAAATATAGGCACTCAATGGTGGAGGGACATTAGGTCTAGGAGACTAGGCTAATCCTCAAATTTAAATTTTTTTTTTTTTTTTTTGAAAATTGGGGTTGAGTCACTTTCAAGAAATTTATAATAAATTTAATCCGTCAAAGAAACTTATTTAGAGGTAAATTTATTTTTAATCTTACTAATAAGTAATTAAATCTACAATTTTTTTTAAACTCTTAAAATACATTTTTTTAAAAGGAGGTTAAATTAATTTTTTATCTTAAAAATTGTTATCTCTTAATTCAATGTAAATTAAAATATGTTAATAAAATCTCCATCATAAATTTAAAATTCAAATGCAAAGCTCTTCCTCCCTCCCTCCTTCTTCGGCCAGCTAGGGGCGACGTTGTCGTGGTTCAAGCGATGTTGAATCCATCGAGGAATTGGTTCGCAGCTTAGTACAAGAAGACCCTTTTCACTCGCCACCGTAAGGTTTCAAAAAAAATTATTTGTCCGTTTTTTCTGTATTTCTCAAAGCTTAAATTGTTGTTTCATATTATCTATGTGTGTATCTGTTTCATATTATCTATCTATGTGTGTATGTTTGTATGTGTGTATTTTTTTAAAATATTATTATTTTTGTGCTTAAATGTTTCATGTTATTATTTTTTTATTATATTACTGTTCATATTACTGTTTTTGTTAAGTATATTACTATTTATGTTATTATTATTTTGAGTGTGTTACTATTTTTATTGAATATATTACTATTGTTATTTTTTTAAAAATATTAATATTAAATCTTACTATGTTTTTATGTTTATGATTGGCTGCCACATGTATTGGTTGCAGGGGCATCATCCTTCCTAGAGGTGACAAATGGGTGAATTGGGTTGATTATGTGTTGGGTTAAATTGAATTGAGCTATATTAAATCTAATCCATTTTTCACTCACGTAATAAATGAGTTATAATGGGTTGAATTTATAACGGGCAGGGTTAAACCGATTAACCTATAAAATAATTAAAATTCTTAATAGATACATTAGTACACCACACACACATTAGTAGTACACCAAAATACAAACATACACACACACATACACACAAATACACAAAAATAAACACAAACTAATACATTAAAAATATACGCGCTATTACACTAAAATATACAATAATACACCAAAAATACATATACATATACTAACACAAAAACTAAAACACATTTAATAAAAAAAAATACACACATAATGGGTTGGGGGCAATTGTGGGCTATGGGTCGGTTGTGGGTCATGGGTTGACCAATGGGTAATGGGTCATAGGTCGACCCATGGGTCATGGATGAACCCGTGGTGTATTAGTGTGTGTGTTTTTAGTGTACTAGTGTGTGTATATTTTAGTGTATATGTGTATATTTTTTGGTGTAATAGTGTGTGTATTTTTTGGTATATTAATATATTTATTTAATTTTATTACTTGTGTTATTTAATAAAAAGATAAATACTCAACTCAATGGGTACCCATTTGTAATCTATATTAATCCGCTTAATTAAAATGAATCATATTACCCAATCCATTTAGAACTCATATTAATTAATATAGATACTCAACTCATTTATTTATGGGCAGGTTGAACGGATTAATGAATAATGAGTTAAGATTGTCACCTCTAATCCTTCCATTGTGCGTGTCTTGGTCTGTACTAGTGTTAGGAATCCAAATTGATTGTGGTTACTTGGCCTAGTGGTGAATGGTTGCACCTTTATTTCTGATGTTGGATATGGTGATTCTGATGAATTTTTCGATGATGAACAATTGCGGGAGGATTGTTTCCATGATGAAGCTCTCAGATTTGGACCATATTCTACTAGTGGATTGGGTTGAAATTGATGCTCATAGGATGATTGGTCATGCCCTAGGTGCCCGTAACCATAGCAAAAGTCATTGAGCCGTTCATACCTGAGGATGATTTTCTTTGGTGACTATTCCGGTATTGGTAACCAGAAATGGCTTCGGAGTGCTTTTGTCAAGTCAGTTGAGGTTCTCATTCTAAGATAGTTTTTCCAGAGGGTTTTTTGTTGGAGTTGGTGCTCTTTGCAAACTTGGTTACCAAGGGCTTTGGCTATTTTGTAAGCATTCTCAAGGGTTATCATGTCTGGAGGTATACCATGTGCTTGGATTCAAAAGGAGGCCGAGTTGAAATTGATCCTAGAGATGGGGATATTTGGTTCCCATTGTTTGAGAACCAACAGTTGACCCTTCATTGACCAGAGGCTTTGGTTGAGGATTTTTTGTAGAAAGGATCCATTCTTGAAAATGAAAATTAAAATATCCTTGTCACCATCTTTGATATCGACTTGTTTGTTCGCATTCCATGCTCTAGTGAGGATAATCTTTATTGCGTTCCGATTGATGTTCCTGTTTGTATGTAGTTTTCCAATGAGACAGAGTTCTAAAATGAAATTGGTAATTTGGGTGTGTGGTTAAAGTGGGATAATGATGTTCTGTTATGTGTAGGACGTTAAGCATAATTTTCTGGTGTTGGGGCTATGATACATGCTATAGTTGTGATTATTTGTTCTTGTGGGTTATCAATGACTGGGTGGATTTTTGTGAAAGGTTAGAGCAACTCCAAGGGGGAGTGACATCAGGGATGGCAACCCCATAACTACCAAAATCCCGCCTCAAATTCAAAAATTTGGACTCTAACGGGGGTGGTATCAGGGATTGGAAAATGGTATCAATGGTCTTGGGGTGGCAATTTTAGCAACTCTGGAGAGAGAAAGTGAGAGGTTGCAAATTTTATTGTTCAATCTGAACGGCTTTAGTCAACAAATTTTTTTGACAAATACAGAGAATTTAAAAAGAAAACTTACCAAAGCTTGCCGTGAAAATCTTTGTAAGCTCTCTACTCTTGATTTTTCTTCAATCGTTAGAAGGAGACACAGAGGCACAGAGACACAGGGGGAAGGGGAAGGGTCTGAATCACAGAGCGATTCTACCCCCAATTTGCCTCTTTGATCATTGATGTATTTATTTTTCTGGTACTATTTATTTTAGGATAAATGACACCTTGTACCCCCAAAAATTTTTGTATTCTCAATTTATATATTAAAATTTTTTTGTATTATCATATTACACCATTAATCAAACAAAAATATCAATGTCCTCCATTTTAAAAAATTCAACAAAAATTTTTATTGAAAACTTTTTATTGATTTTATTTAGGGTGATTTTGTTTAGGGGAAAGGGAAGGAGGCGTTATAATTTGTTTTAATTAAGCGTGATTTTTTTTTATTTTTTAATTGATTATTTTATCTTACCTTTAAATTGATTATATATATATATATATATATATATATTGTAGATGAATTCGCAATTTGACAGTTTTTTCACTGATTTACTTGTGAAGACATCGATTTATATGATGATGCTATGCAGAAGAATCCCACAGTATTGAGTACAAAATGAAGCCGCTCAAAGAGTGAAAAAATCGCAAAGGACAAAAAACTTCTCTCTAGAAGAAGATAAATTAATTGTGTCTGCGTGACTTAACACGAGTAAAGATGCAATTATTGGAAATAAACAACAAGGAGGTGCTTTTTGGCAAAGAATATTAAAATACTTATAATTTCATGTAGGCAATTAAGAAGAGCGTTCGCAAGCTTCTATTAAAAGCCGTTGGACTGATATAATGTAAAATGCAGCAAATTTGTCAATTTTTATAGTCAAATTAAAAGATTGCGATAAAGTGGACACACCGAGCAAAATAATGTAATAATTGAGATTTTTTAGATAGACACTACTATGATTTGACATTTGAACTATTGACCGAATGATTTCATATGTTTTTCAGGTTGATGAAACAAAAGATATGTTTGCTAAGATTATTGTAGGATCATTTCAATACGAGCATTGTTGGAATATATTGAAAATGGAGTGAATATGGACTAATAATCTCGTCAACAATAATAGAACAAAAACTCATTCAACTGGTAGTCCTGTTGAATTAAATCATGCTGAATCTTGCTATTCAACTCCAAATTTAGGAGATAACACAAATAGGCCTTTGGTCCAATGGTACTCTTTGTCTTGTAAAGGCTTTGCCTTTTTGAGATCAAGGGTTTAAGTCCTCCCTCCCCCTTCCCCCTTCCTGTTAAAAAAGAAAAAAAAAAGGAGATAACACTAAACCCTCGTCCACTCCCAACCTTGATGGCCCGTTGGGCAGAAAGGCTTTGAAGAAACAACTTAAAAACAAAGAAGTAAACCGGTGTTGAAGCATCACTAGATCATTACCACTGGAATCAAATAATGGAAGTGGAACGATAAAAAGTTGAGCGATACGACAAAATTTATGCTCATGAGATTGCATTGGAGCAACATCGTAGACAGTTAGAAATTGAAGAAAGACAGGTGCGAGAAATTGAAAGGCAAAATGAAATGCAGAATGAAATGAAAATCGTGGAAATTGACACTACTAGCAAGGACCCAATTTCTGCAACATATTGGAATAACATGAAGATAGATATTATGAAAAAGCGGGGTTTTAATTTTTAGTTGTTATTTATTATGTTGCTATTATTTTTTACTTTTTAGTTATTATTTATTATGTTGTTATTATTTATGAAAAACTATGTATTAAGTT